TTTCTAGAAAACCTTTTCTTTCCTTTGCTAATGAAAGGAAAGAGCCACTCTAAGGAAAGGTCCTCTGTTTTCCCTTCTGCCCCCACCCATTCTACTTTAGAATAGGACTGTGATACTGAGGCTATGGCAGCCAACTTGTGAATAGCATGAGAAAGTGAAATCAGCTTGCCAAGAACAATGAAGAGGAAGGATGGAAGAGTCTGGGTCCTTGATAACACCATGGAGCAGCCAGACCAATATCAAGAACTGCCTTCATTCCGAATTTGGGCTTTATGGATAAAATAACTCTTACTTGTTTAAATCACACTAGTCAAGATTTCCAATATTTTCAGGCAAAATATCCTTAACTCATAACTACTTGTGCCCGGCAAAATATAAGTCAATATTCCCTTCAAACAAGATGAAAGTATCCAAATCAAACCATGTGAGACCGTGAATTTGGCAGCCCCAATGGGCTCTACTCTGAGGAGGCAGCTCTTCTCTAGTTGTACTTTGAGTGCTTTCTGACCTGAAGGGCTCATCTTCTGTCACTACATTGAACAATGTTTCAGGGCTATTCATAAGGTTTTTCACTGGCAAATTCAAGGGGATAGCCCCTTCCTTTTTCCAAGTTTGTCTTAGTCTGGAAGCTCTGCTGAAACCTGTCCACCATGGGTGACCCTGCTGGTAGTTGAAATACCAGTGGCATAGCCTCCAGCCTCACAGCAACACACTAGCCACCACAGTATGACAAACTGACAGATGAGTGGAATACACAGAATCACTGTACCAAAAAGAATTGATTGATGTTATTGAAAGTGAGGATGACTTGAAGCACTTACTGATGAAGATTGAAGACTACAGTCTGCAGTATGGATTACATCTCAACATAAAGAAAACAAAAATCCTAACAACTGGACCAATAAGCAGCATCACAATAAATGGGGAAAAAATTGGAGTTGTTAAAGTTTTCGTATTACTTGGTTCCATAATCAACACAAATGGAAACAGCAGTCAAGATATCAGGTAACATATTACCCTGGGCAAATCTGCTGCAAAAGACCTTTTTAGCAAACATGTCTTCTTGAAGACTAAGGTGCACCTAACCCAACCCATGGTATTTTAAATAGCCTCATATGCATGTGAGAGCTGGACAATGAACAAAGAAGGCTGAAGAAGAGTTGATGCTTTTCAGTTGTGGTGTTGGCAAAGCATACTGAAAGTACCATGGACTGCCAAAAGAATGAACAAATCTGTCCTGGAAGAAGAGAAGCTGGAATGCTCCTTGGAAACAAGAATAGCTAGACTTCATCTGACCTACTTTGGTCACCTTGCCAGAAGGGACAATTTCCTGGAGAAGGATATGCTTGGTAAAGTGCAGGGTCAGTGAAAAAGGGGAAGGCCCTCAATGAGATGAATTGACACAGTGGCTGCAACGATGGACTCGGGTGTAGCAAAGATTGTGAGGCTGGCACAGGACTGGGCAGTGTTTCATTCTGTTGTACCTAGGGTCACTTTAAGTTGGAACCGACTTGATGGCACCTAACAACAACAACAATGGGTCCCAAATGGTGTTCTTCTCATGTGTATCCTATCCTTTTGGGAGCCCTCAAACCTATAGAAATCTCTATGAGCAACATTGCATTCCTTTTTCTTTCCAAAGGAGTTCTTAGTTATAAACATGTTGTTACTAGGTCAATTATGTCATCATTAGGATGAGCTAGTAAGAATAACACTTTTGCTCTTCTCTGAAACACAAGTATTTATATAGTTATAGTTCCCTTAGGAAGCTCTGGTCGTGCAGTGCCTGAGACATTTGACTGCTAACCAGCAGATTGGTGGTTCAAACCCACCAGCTGCTCCATGTAAGAAAGATGAGGCAATCTACTTTCATAAAGATTTACTGCTTTGGAAACCCAGTGGGGTATGAGTCAGAATCAATTTGATGGCAGTGGGTTTGGTTTTTTATTTTTATTTTGTAGTTCCCTTAAGGGCTTAACATGTTCTTTTCTCTCATGAGGGTATACACTATTTCTGCCTTTGAGTTTCACAGAAAGGCAAGTAGTTAAGACTACTAAAGTATAGATTGGGTTAAAGTGTGGAGATTTCATCCTCTGGACTAGAACCTTCTAATCATTAATTGATTACCTGTTAATGATGGCTGCTGTAAGTCATAGACCTCTTTCATTGAAAAGGACTCTTAGTTGACTATTGGAGGAACTTATGCAAAAATAATAAGTTATTTTGCCTAGAGCTTGAAGAAAGTTGATAGGACCAAAAAGAGACCCCTAAAAGCCCATTTTACAGTGAAGAGATGTCTCTGTTCTCCCAAATCTTCTTTATCTGATTGTACACTCATTTGACCATGCTCTGAATGTACTGAACACGTATTGAACACTTACACCAAATAGCTTGTTGGACAGAGGACATATTGGATTTTACAAGGGAGAATGATGAGCTCCACCAGAGCTCTTCTCAGTAGGGATAGGCTTTGGCAAGATTTCATGCCATCTCTCTGTAGGCTCAGTCTGCTTTTCTAAGCTGAGCAGTAGAATGGGGACATCACCTAGATTGGAAGGTGTTACTAGAAGGGGATGTCATGGGTTTCTACTATGGAGTAGTCACAACATCCATCTCCTAAATATATACAGAGATATTCCAATATAGTTCAACCAGAGTCTTGGAAGCAATCACAAATAGACAGTGAGTGTCCATAAGTGGATTTGTTTCAAACACTAAAAGCCTGGTTTTATTTCAGAGGGAATTAAAATGCTCATTAGATCAGAAAGGGATCTAAATTGGAGATCCTAGTTAGAGTATGTGTGTGTGGAGGGGAATGTGGGATAAAATTAAAAAGCATAAAAAAGACCAGGATTACTGGTCGGACAGAGAATGATGAAACCCCTGAAACTATGGCTCCTTGTCACCCTTTGGACCTAGAATTGGACTCATTCCCAAGCTTAACTCTCAGCCCAACAATAGATAGGGCTATGAACAACTACACCTTAGATGCATTCCTTAGAACAATCAACCATATGAGATCAGAGGGGCAGAATTTGCCCAGGGGGAAAGCTAAGGAGGCAAGAATATATAGGCAAGAAGGATGCAAGGAAAGGGTAATCACAGGGAGGAAGTGGGAGCTATTACAGTGTGGGGACTGTAAACAGTGTTACAAAACAAAAGGTGTATGAACTGTTGAATGTAAAGCAAATCTGCTTTGTAAAATTTCACCCAAATCACAATAAAAAGTTAAATAAAGTAAAAGTGCTCATTAGAGTGAAGGTCTCTCTGCCTATATTTTTCTTTTCTCTTACATTCATCCTACTGGAAGACTTAAGAATCCTTGTAACATAAAGAAATGGACAGAATCTATTTAGGGGTAGCACTATGAATCATTGACAAATCCATACTAGTGACACCTAAAGTATACCAGACTCTTGAAAGAAATTTCACATGCTTCCTTTTCAGTCTCATTATTATTGGGTGTAAGAGAATAGTAATAATTCATCTACACACACGCACACACACACACAAAGATCTAGCTGTAACAATAGATATAGATGGTATAAGCAGGAATTGCCCATCTACTGCATATATTACAGAACTGATTAATTTAATCATTCTTGTATCAAATATTTATTTAGCACATTATGTGCCAGGTACAGTGTTTGGACTATGGAGCAAAGAAAAAAAGAAAAAGACATAGCCTTTGACTTCAAGGCTGTCTCAGTCTAATTGGGTTGACAGAATAGTCAAGATAATTACAAGACTCTTTACCATTAGGATTATTCTATCTGGGAGGAATAAATACCTTTTTTCCCACTTAGCCTTTAAATCTACCCCAGTCAGCCTAGTTGCTTTTTCTTTTCTTTCTTTCTTTCTCTCTATTATCTTTATTTCTTTCCTGTATGTCTCATCCGTATGACCATAAGTCTAATTTTAGTTCCCAGCCATTCTTTAACATGGGTACTAGCATACACAATGTATGCTCAAGGTTTTTGCTCTCCTGTGATATGTCATACTTAATTAACTGTCATCTTCACTATTAATATTAACTGAGATATTAATTTGATGAATATTAATTTCTTTTAATCATAGCATCATTGTGATCCTTCACTGGACATCTCTTTAGAATGACACACAGTACAGAGGAGAAATATTAATAGTGTATTAAGGTATTTGAAAAAAACTCCTTAGTAATTAATTGCATGTTTCCCTGTGAAGATTATCTGTTTCTTGAACGCTGTAGGCATGCTGGTTTCTGTGTTAGTGAATGGATGTTTTGTCTTGATCACCTCTTGACTCTGTTTTGCACTTGCAAATGAAAATACTTCCAAATTCAAGAAATGTTTTTCCCCAGAAGAATTCTCCAGAGTCTGCTGTGTTATCTGACTGGCAGGGGCTCTTTACTATTAATCTAGGCATCAAAAACATAAATGTGACTATTTGGTCTATTCCTTTGGTAGCAGAGTCTGTGGCCAGCTGATACTTGGGAGGAAAGAGCCCAGGGCAATTGAACCATCAGATAGTGCACATAGTTCTTTCTCTCTTTTCTTCTTATTCACTTAAAAAACAGTTGTTTTTGGTTTTTTCACAATTCCTCTGTGCTCTCCCTCCCCTACATCCCTCCTGCATATGCTCACTCCAATATATATTGAAACACTGAGGAAGATAGCCACTGAGTCCCTCTCCCAACACCCGCAATCCTGGGATGTGACTGGCACAGGAAATAAGTGTGAGAGAATTTCAGAAAGAGGCCCATCCTGAAGTCTAGTCATCTGGACACTGCAAACCTGGGAGTGGAATCATTCCCAGCTCCCTGGTTCTGACAGCTGTGTAAGTGACACTTGATGGTAGATGCACCCAGAGCTTCACTTCCCTCATTAAAAGGAAAATGACAGAAGCTCTCTTTCCTCAGTCCCTGGGTCCCACCATAGGAATTATTTCAAGCTTTGAAGGCCAGGAACTCAGAGATCGAGAAATGAAGTCATATGGACAGTGCATTACTAGGGCTCACTCACCTCCAGGTATACCACCCAGGGCATCACCAAGGTGGCCACCAAAAGGTCTGCCACAGCCAGGCTCACAACGAGGTAGTTGGTGGTGGTCTGCAGGGCCCGTTCTTTCAGCACCGCTACGCACACCAGTCCATTGCCGAAGATGATGGCCAGGATGAGTGCACAGTAGGATAGGGCATAGTAGGCATGTGGGCGGGCCCACCTGGCACCCGTGGAGTTCTCTGCAGCCCCACAAGTAGAGTTGATGTAGCCACTCAGCTGACTCAGAGGTGCCATGGCCCTCAGGGAGGTGTGGCTCCCAAGGGGGTTCCTTGAGAGGAGAAAAAGGACAATATTGGTAAAATCAGACCCTGTGGAGCTTGGTGGCTTGGCTACATTCTTGATTTCTTACTTCAACATTTATTTATGGAGCACTTTCTATATTCTAGGCACTAAGCACTGTTCTAAGCAATAGAGCAATAAACAAAATGGTTAAACATCTTGTTCTCATGAAATCTATATTCTAGACCAGATTACAAATAATAAACAAAATAAATAAACCATGTAGTCTGTTCCATGATGCTACTATCATGTAGAGAAACAAATCAGGAAGGGGATAGGAGTGGATGAGTTGTGTGTGTGTGTGTGTGTGTGTGTGTTTGAGAGCAAATTTCTATTTAGGGTAATCAGAGAAGCCCTCACCAAGAAGGTGACAGTTGAGTGAAGACTTGGAGATGAGGAAACAGACTATGCAGATACCTGGGGAAGAGCAGTCCAAGCAGTGGGAACAACAGGTACAAAGACAAGGAGGGCTGGCCTTTTGAAGAAAATGCAGGGAGGCCTGCAGTGTGACTGGACCAGGAGTACAGTGACGTGGTGTGAGATCTGGAGGTTGTGCAGAGCCATTGAAAGAATGATACCTGCACTTTGAGTGAAATGGAAAGCCATTAGAGTGTTAGCATTCCAGCTCTGCCACTTCCTAACTCTGGGGCCTTGGGCATGTTACTTAACCTCTCTGAAGCCTCAATTTTCTCCTCTGTGAAACGGAGAAAACTCTCACAGAGTTTTTGTGAGGATTAAATGAGTTATTATATCTGTAAAACACTGAAAGCCATGCCTGACACCTAGGATGCTACATAAGTGTTAATACTTTTCTCTTATTGTTCTTTTTATCTCCTTCCTTCCTTTCTTTGTTTCCTCCCTCTCATTCCCTATCGCCCTTACTGCCTTTTCCCCTGCTTCCCTCTGTCTCTTTTCATTTCCTTTGATCTCCCATTCTCTCTTGTATTTTACAGCAGACATGGTGTGTTTGGGAGCCTGAGTTATTGGAGAAAATCTCAAGAGCAGTGAGGGATAGAGGCAGTGTACCAAAACCAAACCAAAGTAACTGCCATCAAGTTGATTCCAACTCATAGCAACCCCCATTGGGTTTCCAAGGCTCTATATATTTACAGAAGCAGACTGCTTCATCTTTCTTCTGTGGAACTGCTGGTGGGTTCAAACCTCTAACCTTTAGTTACCAGCCAAATGCCTTAATCACTCTAATACCAGAGCTTCTTAGAGGCAATATAGTTACTTTTATATTTAGGAAAAAAATCTATGTCTATATTTTTATTTTAAATCTCCCAATTTTTAGAGATTAGTTACCAATTAAAAAATATTTGAGCCCTATGTTGTCCCTCCCTTCCCCAAAATCCTACATCCATGGGCCAATGTCCCATATACCACTTTTCAACTTCTGACCTAGTCCAAAACCAAACCAAACACACTACCATTGAGTTGGACCTGACTCATAGTGACCCCTCCTTGGGTTTTCGAGGCAGTATCACTACAGAAGTGGATTGCCCAACCCTCCTTCCAGGGAGTGGCTGGTGGATTTGAACCACCAGCCTTCCAGTCAGCCATCAAATACCTTATGCACTATGCCACCAGAGCTCCCCTGACCTAATCCAGTGCCCTGATTTTTTCAAATAGTGAAATTGAGACCCAGAAAGATGAGTAACATGTCTTAAGACATACAGTTTATTAGCAGTAAAACTAGATACAAGCCCTCTAATTCCTCCAAGCCATGGAGAATAGTTTTTTTTGGCATTTGAAAGCCACAACTGCTATTGTCACCATCCCATTGGGAAGAACCAAATTTCAAACTGTGGAGACTTTGTACTAAGAGTAGAGAAGGCATCTGTGCTCTTGTGACACTAACCTGTTGGGACCAGCCCTAAGAAGGGACCCTGAGCTCTCAGAACCAGGTTTGTATGTGCCTGTGGAGGACACAAGTCACCATTTCCTGAAATATATAAACATACCTGTGTGTCAAGGGTAGCAGTGCATCAAAGCCACATGCTGGGGGAAGACACAAAGCTTGTGGTCTGCAAGGTAGTCTTTAAACTGTGTCAAGAATGATTCCTGTCTTGGGTGCTATGCTTTAAAATGTCCCATTCTGGTCCTCCTCTGGACTCCTCATGTCCTCCCCTTAGAATGAGGAGTCCACAGAGCCAAGGGGAGATTCATCAAGGTCCGTTTCTCCATTGTAGACTACATGCTGGGGTACCAAGATCACAGAAGTCTCTGCAGAAACTGCTTGGAGCTTGCTTTCAGGGCAACACAGGCCTAACTACAGATCTATCATCTGGAATAGTCTGTGCCATGTATGTGGAGCCCCTAACCCCAAACAGTAGACTTTTGATGAAGCTTGGATGGATGGCCCAGTGTGCCATGCATAAGTGTGTAAAGATCATTGCTATGCAGAGTGTAGCCTGAAGTAGAGAGAGAAAGGGTCCAGGCCCTGGTATCCGGGGACAGGATGGAGATGAAGATTTTGCTTCTCCTGCACTGCTACATTCTGCATGGAACTCTTAAGGGCTCAGGAATTCCAAATTCAAACACAGACTTTCAGGTTGTTATGAAAGTATATTTGTGAATGGATTAAACACTTTATTTAGTAGTTTGTTAGTTATGACTGTGAAATATTTAGACATGGAATATATGGGTCTCCATGGGAACCCTTGCTCTAGACCTTGGAAAATGTAGCACCTGGTTTGGTGGCCTGGATTAGTTTTCAATCCTGGTCTCTGTACCTTTCAGTGAATGAGGAGATTGGCTTAATCATGGCTGTCACTTCAGGCCACAATTTGAAATGTTTCAGCCTGGAATGTAAAAGTGTTTAGATGAGCAAATGATTGGGAAGGGGTGACCAACTTGGAATAAATTCAGGGAATTGTTTTAAAAAGTTGTATTTCATCTTGCCACACTGTTTGGACTCAATATATTTAAAAACATAATGATAATTCTTGATAATAATCATAATTTTCTCATTATTCAGAGAAGAGCAGCTGCTACCCTGGAGATAGCATTGCTGCTGCCAAGAGCTTTTGGAAAAATATGATGTTTTCTGATTGTCCAAGAGTATTCCACCTTTGAGGCAGACTCAAGCCTAGAGCAGGGCCTCTTCTGATCTGGGCCACCTTGGAAAATGGTGGGGAGAAATCATTTTTTCCCAGAGTTTGCAGTCGTCTAATGATGGCTTAACCTTATCTCACCTGTCAAGTAATAGGGAAGCACAGAGCCTGGGGATGTTTGTTACCATCCTGCCAGACCCTTTACCTTACCAAGAAATTTGACCAAAGAAACAAATGAAAAACAAACCCACAACTGCTTTAAAATAGTACAGCTGAGTGTCAATTGCTAATTATATGAAGAAGAAAACCCTCAACTCTTGAAATTGATTCTGAGCCTGATGTTGGAATCACAATCACACAGACTTCAGACTTATTAATTGGACTATACTGTCTCTGATATTAGGTTCTTTATAATAGCAGATGGGGTCAGTGGTAGCTGTCCAGGCAGTTCCTGCTGAGTTGTGGGTGTGGAAGATGAAAGCAGAGATGAGTGAGATGCTAGATCACCCCCTGTATCTCAGCTAATTGTTTCAACTTTTTCCCTCATTAGATCTGCCCCACCAAAATTGCTTATATAACATACAGCTGGGCCTTCCTCTTTCCCTCTCATTATGGAAGATATGATAATCAATAGTGAATGGGTCTCTGGTAGGGAGAAGCAAAGAGCTTGGAGAATTCATTAATAATCACTCTGTAAGAAATTAATAATGATAGCATGGTTTCCTCATCAGCAAAATGAGGATAATCATGCCTCCTCCATAGGGTTATTGTGAAGATTAAATGAAATTATGTATGTAAAGCCTCATCATTATTAACAATTTGGGCTGGATAATTCTTTGTTGTGGGGGAGATGGTCTTTGTATTGTAGGATGTTTAGCAACAGTCCCTGGCATCTACCCACTAGATGCCAATAGCACCCTCTTCCCAATTATGACAGCAAAATGCCTCCAAACAGTGTCAAATGACCCCTGGAGGGCAAGATTGTGTGATCCTCCCATCCCCCTACTCTCTGACCCCCGCCTCAAGAATCATTGCACTAGCATGATGTCTGGCAACAGAACAAAACAAAAACCTCTTGAAATATGGTAGCTTTTATTGTTAACAAGAAAATAGGAATGAATGGCTGAAGGGGCAAAAGTAGCTACATTTGCAGAGGGTCTTAAAATTAGAGGACTTAAAAGTTAGGAGATTACTAGTGGCATCAATAAGAGTGTTAGAATTTGTGAGTGGATAGGAGGTGAGCAAGTGGAGAAGTCAAGGACTAGATCATTGCTGGCCTTACTCTTCTAAAATTTATTAATTATAATTCTACCTTTTTTGGATAATAATACAAGTTTTAATGATATATATATAATTTAATATATATTATAATATATATAATTTTAAGAAGTATTGCTTATCCTGCTCTTTATTATTTGTTCTGTCATCTCTCAGAATGAATGCATGATCTATTTTAAAAAGCATAAGGACAGAGTGTCAGACCCCATTCAGCCATGACATAGGTCCTACTTTGCTGGTGTTCCATCTTTCAGCACTGATTCACAGTTCTCCTGAAACATTTGTGGGGTGTTTTCATGTACCTGGTTCCATATCAGACTCTCATTAATTATGCTTGAAAGATATCCATTAAGATTTACAAGATTTTAGTTATCCTTTTTCGTTAAAAATACTGAGTTACTCAAAGAACAAACAAAACCAAAACCATCTTGAGTCTTCCACTTTCTTCTAAAAACAATGATCAGTATCACTTTTAGATTACTATTATGTGCCAAGCACAAAACTTTTTTGATGGCCTTCATTTTTCAGAGTACTTTTATGTTTACAGAAAAATTTTGCAGAAAGTAAAGAGTTAACTATATACTTCCCCCTCCCCTTCCCCACAGTTTCTTCTATTATTAGCATGTCTCACTAGTGTGGTACATTGTTGTTGTTAGGTGTTGAGTCAATTTTTGACTCATAATGACCCAATGTGACAGAGTAGAACTGGCTCATAGGCTTTCCTAGGCTGTAATCTTTATGGGAAGGAAGGTTCTATTTCTGTACTGATGTTGTTGTTGTTATGTGCCGTCGAGTCAGCCCTGACTCATAGCGACCCCTCCTTGGGTTTCCGAGGCAGTATCACTACAGAAGTAGGATTGCCCAACCTTCCTTCCGAGGAGTGGCTGGTGGGTTTGAACCGCCACCCTTCTGGTTAGCAGTCAAGTACCACCTTGCAAATGCAAGGACAGGTCACTATGAGTTGGAGCTGACTCAATGGCAGTGCATGCATATGCAATCTTTATGGGAAGGAACACTGGTGATGTAGTGGGTAAGGCATTTGGTTGCTAACCAGTAGGTCAGTGGTTCAAACCCACCAGCTGCTCTATGGGAGGAAGATGAGGCGATCTAGTTCTGGAAAGATTTACAGCCTTGGAAACCCAAAGGGAGTCATTATGAGTTGGAATTGACTTGATGGCAGTGGGTTTGGAATCTTATGGGAGCAGATTGTCAGGTTTCTTTTCCACTCAGAGCCACTGGGTGGATTCAAACCCAGTGATTAGCAGCTATGCACTTAACTATTGTGCCATCAATGCTTCTTAGTGTGGTACATTAGTTACAATTAATGAACTGATATTGATACATCATTATTAACCAACGTCTATAGTTCACATTAGGGCTCAATCTTTGCACTGTATCTTTATCTCATTTTAATATTTATAGCAATCATCATTTTAATATTTATAGAGTTGATATTAGTAACTTTCTCAAGATCATAAAATGTATAAAGACTACTTTGAGCAAGTTTTGATCTCTAAAACTCAACAAAATAACTCACTGCCATCGAGTCAAACCCGACTCATAGCGACCCCCTCCTTGGGTTTCTGAGGTGGTATCACTACGGAAGTAGATTGCCCAACCTTCCTTCCGAGGAGTGGCTGGTGGATTTGAACAGCCTGGTTAGCAGTCAAATGCCTTAGGCACTACACTGCCAGAATTTTGATCTCAGGTTTCCCTAAATCCAAAACTTACAATTTGCTTACTGTTGCTTAATGTTTCATTTATTTAATGTGTCTGTCTTGATGTGGGAAGTTATTCTGAAGTGAGATGGTTTTCCTGAACCTCAGGAAAAAAACTCCTCATCAACAGGAGTCCATGACCAAATCTTCACCTGTATCACAGATCCCTGGCTATTGCCATCTCTAACCGTTCACTCGATTACATCCTGACCACCAATCTCCAAAGATTTTCTGGTTCTGGTTTCAATTCAGACTTACTATATTATGCAATAAAGTTAATAATCATAGCTATCATTAATTGAGCATTTGTTTTACACCAGGCTTTGTAAGCATTATTGTGTTTAAATTACACAACAGCCTGATGAAGGAAGTAGGTGCTATTATTATGCCCATTTTTGCAGATGAAGGAATTGGTCATAGATAGATTAAGAACCTTGTTGGGGTCATAAGCCAGTGAATAATAGAGTTAGTTTAGCCCAAGTTCTGTCTGACTCCAGAGCTCACGTTATTAACAACTCTAATTGGGGTGAGCCTGATAAACATGAAATGCAGATGAAGTTTAAAACCTCGCTTGCTCTGAACATCTTGTGCACATCACCTGACCAAGCTCCATAAAGTCAATGCAGGTGCACACTGCTCTTAGAACCAGTGGGAGTAACATTGTCATTATTATTAGACGTAGTCTTTAGCATTTCTATGGCACTTTATTCTTCCAAATTGCAGCATAGTTTATTTTCCTAAGGAAGATTAACAGATGCATTGGAATACATAGTATATTTACATATTTAGGCACATTTACCTTGTCGATAAATGTACAGAGAAAAACCATACCTGGCTACCGAGATCAAGTAGCTAAGGTAATGTGGTGTTTTCCTAATCAAACCTGCTCAGTAAATCAGGACATCCTCAATTTCCACCCCAACCTCTAAAGCTTGAGCTTTATAGCATTCCATCAGGGAGAAAAATGGGACTCTCAATCAATCAATCAGTATGAAAAAATCAATTGTTGACAAACTTCATTACATTAGAACTTGAATTTAATGTAGTGGACTCTATACTGTATTTGCTTTAATTCATATTCTATTTAAAAAAAAGCCTTCTGTATAGATGCTTTAATATGAGGCACTCATTTGGATACTATCAGTATTTTCCTTGATCAACATCCCTGATCACTTTTAGTCATACAGACTCTTGAAAATGTTCAAATATAAATAGTCAAATGCCTTTCTCACATCATCTGTGTGTCTTTTGGGGCACAAGTGTTCCCAATGTTGTGCCAAATGGTGATTCTTCATTCTTGGCCAAGGATAGACATTTTACTGACCTCTTAGTAAGCAAAGGGCTTCACCTATAAAGTGGAATCAAGCATGCAGAATGAGTTTAGAATTCAAGTTCCACTTGCTATTCCTGCATTATTATTTGTGCATGTACAAATTATACTAAATGCATGAACTGGAATAAATGCCTAATTACAATTACTTCCACTAACTATACTTAGTAATGGAAGTCCCACAATTAAACAACAACAACAATAATCCTCAAAATCAGATGCCATCATTAAAGAAACATACACAATCATCACTTCAAGTATTACATATCTCTGTTGGGAATAATTGGATTCTGACTTGGAAATAGCCTGACTTTAAAGAGACAATTGAAAACAGTGCCACTCCAAACCTTCAGCCCTGGATTACCAGAGTGTTGAACTGAAGAATTTAAATTTATAGACCCTTACAATCAAATAAAACCCTTAAGAAGAATACAATAAACTTCCACACAAATCCCAGGAATAATAACAGTTTTTCTTCTCCGTATTTTAATTCTGCCTGATATAGCTTCTAGAGCCCACAGAGATCCAATTTTGGGAGAAAAATAAAAAGAAAGAGGACAGACTTTTACTGTCCAAACCACTTAGAAAAAATGAGAACAATTTCTTCAGGGTTCAAATTTTTAAGTAAGAGTGGGTACGGCATTTTAATGTATATTCTTAGAGAACCACAGAACCCCAACCTGATGAAATAATCTTTCAGGAAAACACCATATACTAAATTAGAAATTAAAAGAAAAATTACTTACCCTGAAAATTTCTTCTGACTTCTGGATACTGGGGAGTTTAGCACCTCAGCTCCTGCAGCCATTTACTGAAAGCAAGCATACCCAAGCAAGGCAAACTTTGCCTTTCCCAGGACACACAAACTGTGGAAATGAACAGAAAGAAAATTCACATTTTTGCCTTTAAAGTGAAATCACTAGTGTGCTGCTATTCTAGCTTTCCTATTGAAACCTTGCTGCATGTTCCATAGCCGCTTCTGAATGCATCTGTTTTCTCTAGAGGATTTGGGAGGACCCTAAACTAACGTTGCTTGGGTCAGCTGCTCAGAGGCTCTGTCCTTGGTTCTGAAATAGAGGTGGAGGAGGCAGAAACAGGATCGGTTTTCTACCTCTCCTCTTTCTGTGTCTCTATCTGCTTTGACACTATGCTTTTTAGTACATGTGTATTTTTTTTCCTCAGGGTTCTTTTTAATCCCATTTTCCCCACTCTCTTTACCTCTATGCTTTAATTTCTCTTGAATAACTCTCACCTTTCTCAGTTTAATTGTCTTTCCAGCTTTTAGTGGGTGTAAAGACAGTGGGTTAAGAAGAAGGAACAGATAAAAAATTGATAATACAGTGGGTAATGGAAATCAGCACAATTTAAAACACAATTGACAGTATAATGGAACTTGAAGGTGTAAGCCTGTCTGGGAAAAGGAGGTTAAAGAAAATATATTACAGTTGAATTAAATCAAAGCATGGAGTAGATAAAATAATCTTACTAAATATGAGCAATGTTAAATGTTTGTTTAGCAGCACTTTTTGTTTTCAGAGAACTTTACAAGCATAAACCAATTCATCCTTGCTGTTCCTTTGTGGTATTTGTGAGTATATTTTCTTAATTAAACTTTAAAACTGGCTAATGTGAGATACAATCAACTGCCAATGTCAGTGGAAGTCTGTTTCTGAAGCTGATGCAGCACCACAATTTAGACCACATAAATCCCTAACCAAATCTACTGCTACTGAGTCAATTTCAATGCATAGTGACCCTATAGGACAGAGTAGAACTGCCTCATAGCCTTTCCAAGTCTGTAAATCTCAACAGAAGCAGACTCTCTCCTCTTTGTTTCATAGATCTTTTGGTCACAGCCCAGTGCTTTAACCACAGTGTGACCAGAAATCCTTGCACTCTTAATTCATGGTCTCCTGTTCAACTAAAAATTTCCCATGGAATCCTGAAGTTCTCTCTTTTTTTGTCTTCAGTTTCTTCCTCTTCTTTAAGACTGGATGGTAATATTTGACTACTTTCTCTGCCAACAGTAGATGTGCTTGGTTGGTGCCGTAAAGACTGTCGGGAGAGTAGTCCTAGTTTGACTATGATGGAGACCTCTGCTGGCTGAGAAAGATGCAGCAGCAGTAACAAGGTCTAAATACAGCTACTAATATTTTTTAAAAAGAAAACCAAGAGACCTCCATTATTTCTTGAACATTTGCTATTAGCCTGCATTTTAATTATTTTCCTCTTTTATTACTTTCAACAATCCTTGTTGTTGTTCTTAGGAGCTGTCAAGTCAGTTCCAACTCATAGTAACACTAAGTACAACAGAATGAAACAGTGCCTAGTCCTGTACCATCATTACAATCATTGCTATTTTGGAGCCATTATTATAGCCACTGTGTCAATCCATCTCACTGAAAATCTTCTTTTACACTAACCCCCTACTTTATCAAGCATGACGTTCTTCTCCAAGGATTGTTGTTGTTGTTATTATGTGCCGTCGAGTTGGCCCCGACTCATAGTGACCCCTCCTTGGGTTTCTGAGGCAGTATCACTACGGAAGTAGGATTGCCCAACCTTCCTTCCGAGGAGTGGCTGGTGGGTGTGAACCGCCAGCCTTCTGGTTAGCAGTCAAGTGCTTTAGCCACTATGCTACCATTAGTTCCTCCCAATAACATATTCAAAGTATAAAGTCATAATTAACCTCACTTCTAAGGAGCATTCTTGCTGTAGGTGTTCCAAGACAAATTTATTCATTCTTCTGGAAGTCTATGGTATATTCAATATTCTTTGCCAACACCACAATTCAAATGCATTAATTCTTCTGCAACTTCCTTTCTCATTGTCCAGCTTTCACATGCACATGAGGCTATAGAAAAGATAAAGACTTGAGTCAAGTGCACCTTACTCCTCAAAATAACATTTTGCTCTTTAACACTTTAAAGAAGACTTTTGCAGCAGATTTGCCCAATGCAATGTTATTCGATTTCTTGGCTGCTGCTTTCATGGACTTTGATTGTGGATCCAAGTAAACTGAAATTCTTGACAACTTCAATCTTTTCTCCATTTATCATGATGTTGCCCATAGAATCCTTTAGTGTTGCAGTTCAAGGTTTGAGTTTTTCCTTCAGTTATTTCCACTTGAGAAATGCTGAGCATATTCTTCCTTTTTGGTTTTCCAGTCCAGGTCTTTGTAAATTCCAGTATAATATTTTTCTGTCATTATAATACTTTGTCTCCTTGAGCTGCCCTTTGAAATCTGTTCAACTCTTTCACCTCATCATTTATTGTATTTTCCTTAGCTATTATACATTTAAGGGCAAGTTTCAGAGTGTCTTCTGACATTGATTTAGGTCTTTTCATCCCTTTCTGTCTCTTTAATGACCTTTTGCTTTCTTCATGTATGATGTCCTTGATGTTATCTCACAACTCATCTGGTCTTTGGTCATTAGTGTTCAGGGTGTCAAATCTATTCTAAGGGTCTCTAAATTCAGATGGCATACATTCAAGGCCATACTTTGGCTCTTATGGGCTTGTTTGAATTTTCTTCAGCTTCAAATTGAACTTGTACTGAGCAATTGATAATCTCTTATGCAGACAGCCCCAGTCCTTGTTCTGATGATACTGAGCTCCTGCATCCTGTCTTTCCAAGCTGTAGTTGTTTTGATTCCTGTGAATTCCATCTGTGAGATTCAGGTACATAGTTGCTGTTTATGTTGTTGAAATTTTTTTTTTTTTTTTTAGTGAATAGGTCATTGGTCTTTCAAAATTCCATCATACCATCTATGACTTAATTTCTATCACTGAGGCCATATTTTCCAACTACTGATCCCTCTTTTCTGTTTCCACGAAAGTTGAAGTTGTGTGTCAAGTTGGTTGGGCTGTGGTTTTGAGTGGCTTGACAGCTGGATATAGTTATTTCCCATGATGAAATTGGATGTGGTGTAATCAACTCCATGGTGGAATCTGCTGTGAGCAGCTAATCAGTTGCCTTTGGGGTGTGGCCTGCTTCCAGTGTATATGGATAAACTTTGAGAAAAGTCACTAGCTTTTTGGCACAAATGGATCCTGCATTTGGCTGAGTCTCCATCTCCAGTGCCTAGACTTGAACCAGTGGCCTGCTGCGTTTCCTGCCAATTTTGGGATTATGCCATTTTACCTGCTGACCTTGGGTTTATCAGCCTCAGCAGCTAGCAGCTGCCAGATGTAGGAGATGCCTCCAGCTCCAGTGGATCTGGAACAAGAAGCAGAGCTGAAGCTGAAGGTTGAGGGAACTTCACCCAGCCCCTACAGCCAGCAGTAAGAATTCAGACTTCTAGCCTCCTAAACTATAAGTGAATACATTCCTGTTTGTTAAAGCTATCCACTTGTGGTATTTCTGTTATGACAGCACTAGAGAGCTAAGACAGTTTCCAACTTACACATTCCAATTACCAGTAATTATCAATGCATCTCAATTGCATGTTTGATCAGTTTCAGTCTGCAGAAGTTGGTAAAAATCTTCAACAACCATAGAAGGTAGGAATATATATATTTATAGTTCCTAATTTATGGATAGGAAATTGAGACTTAGAGAGGTTACAATTTTTTCTTAAGGTTACACAGCTAACAAATGATAGAGTCATGATTTAGATTTAGGCATCTTAATTCTGGAACATGTTCTCTTAATCACTATGCTATAATTCTTCCAAAGGCAGAAAATTTAGATTTCCCACGAGGCTGACAAAATGTCAGAGAAAATAATAATTATAATGACAAAAAATAATGTTACCAATAATACAATATTTGTACAGTGTCACATTATTTATAAAGCATTTTATCAATCACATTCTTGTCTGTATCTTGTATCAATCTTTACAACGCTGATTTTTTAGAGAGGTTTAGAGAGACTGTAGGTTAATATCACCATCTGTCTGTTATTTTGTCATACTGTAATGGTTTGCATGTTGCTGTGATACTGGAAGCTATTCCATGAGCATTTCAAATATCAACAGGGTCATTTATGGTGGACTGGTTTCAGTAGAGCTTCCAGATTAAACAGGCTAGGAAGAAGAACCTGGTGATCTATTTCTGAAAGTATTTACAAGTAAAAACTTTGTGAATAACAGTGGAACAGTGTCAGATATGGTGCAAGAAGATGAGTCCTTTGTTGGAAGACACTCAAAATATGAATGGGAAAGAGCTGCCTTCTCAAAGTAGAGTGAACCTTGATATAGATGGAGTAAAGCTTTTGGGATCGCCATTTGCTGATGTGGCATGACTCAAAATGAGAAGAAACAGCTGCAAGCATCCATTAATAATCAGAAGATGGAATATACAAAGTATAAATCTAGGAAAATTGGAAGTTGTCAAAAAGGAAATAGAATTTGTGAAGACTGCTATCTCAGGCATTAGAAAGCTGAAATGAACTGGTATTTGCCATTTTGAATCAGATAATCATGTGGTCTACTATGCTAGGAATGACAAATTGAGGAGAAATGGTATCATATTCATCATCAAAGAGAACATCTCAAGATCTATCCTGAAGTACAACACATGTGAATGATAGGATAATATCCACATGCCTACAAGGAAGACAGGTTAATGACTATTATTCAAATTTACATACCAACTGCTAAGGCCAAAGATGATGAAATTAAAGTTTTTTACAAACTTCCATAGTTTAAAATTGATCAAACATATGTAATCAAAATACATTGATGATTACTAGTGATTAGAACGCAAAAGTTGGAAACAAAGAAAAAGGATTAGTAGTTGGAAAATATGGCTTTGGTGATAGAAACAATGCAAAAGATTGTATATTAGAATTTTGCAAGACCAATGATTTACTCACTGGAAATAACTTTTTTCAACAATACAAATGGTGACTGTACATGTGGACTTCACCAGCTGGAATACACAAGAATCAAATCAACTACATCTGTAGAAAGACAGAATGGAGAAGCTCAATATCATCTGTCCGAACAAGGACAGGGGATGTCTGTGTAACAGATAACCAATTGCTTATATGCAAGTTCAATTTCAAGTTGAAGAATTAAAACAAGTGCACAAGAGCCAAAGTATGACCTTGAGTATATCCCATCTGAATTTAGAAACCATCTCAAGAATAGATTTGACATATTAAATGCTAATGACAGAAGATCACACAAG